GGCGGCGGCGTGGGCTGGAAGAGCCCGGGGGTGTCCAACTCGTTCGCGTACACCGGGTACTGGAAGAGGGAGTCGCTCAGGACCGTCTTCGCGTGGGGGTACGGGCCGTCGGGAAGCGCCTCCGGCCGGGGGAGCTTCTCGAGCTGCCGGGCCTTGCGATCGCCCTCGCGCTGCGCGCGGGTGCGGGTGTCTTTGGTGCTCGTCAGCGTCTTCCACCCCGGGAGGTGGTAGAACCGGAAGGAGGGGGGCACGCGGCCATCGCCCGCCCCGCCCGATGGATGCCGGGGGGGGGGAAAGATGGAGTCCGATGGCGAAATACACGTCGCATCGCGGCATCACCGTACGGAGGGAAAGGGAAATAATAAGATCAGTACAAATAACGCTAAAATATATAAGAACACCACAGAATCAACCGCAGACGGGCGCGGAAAATGGGATCACAAATAATGCTAAGCTTCAATCCCTATAGAAATTAGGCCATATAGAAAACAAAAATGGATCAGGAGTGATAATATAAATTATATAGACATACGGATGGCGCATTTACCACTACTTGACATTAAGTAATAACTATTCACAGATAAAAAATTGATTAAGTGAACCCGTCTTTACGTGTTTAACCGACTTGTTTTATTAAAGCAATGGGTTTGCATAGGCATTTTCCCTTTAAGAAAATGTTAGCACGAGCAGGTTTGACATCCTTTTTTTTTGTAAACCACAGAAAGATATCAATTCGTTTATTCACCCCCGCGAAAACAAACGCCCGCATTAGTAGAGCGCTTGGGTAAAGCCTCTTTTCAAATTCGCTCGATGCGAATCTTTCAAACTCCCCTTTCCCGCACGACTCGCACGGGCGCTGGTACTATGCGAAGGGCCTCTCGGCGGAGGGCCTTCCTTGGGGACGTTCGCCCCCATCATTCCCTTCACAACTTTGCCCCTTCCCACCTCGCCCGCGGCGGGACTGGGCCCTTTTTCGGCCCCCTCCTGGCCCTTCTTAAGTCGCAGCTCGGCCCGCTCCTTCTTTCGCCTGAGGATGTAGGACTCCATCAGCGAGGTCGAGTGCGCGTCCTCCTGGCGGGCGAAGTTCCTCGACGCGATGCGCCCCAGGCGTTTCTGCAGCCGCTTTACCCGGTTCGTCTGCGATAACCTCTCCTTTTTCTCTTTGCGTCGTTGGGAGCGCGTTTTCATGGGGTCCCCGCCCCGCGCCAGCCGATTTCCACGCATCGCACTAACACCCACCCCCTTCTGTAATGCGTCCTTGTTTATTAGTCAGCCCCGGTGCCGTTGTTTTCCGTTGAGGCCTGAGATGTGGCTACTTCAGATTAATCCTGCAAATAAATAAATGGGAAAGACTGAAAAATATAGAAAAAAAGGGCAAAATTGAATTTAGAAAGTGTCTACAGTAAAAAATATATATATATATAAACACTATACAAGAAAGTAGATGCCTTTCCTTTCATTTTTATGAAGATAATGTTGAAAAATAATATCCCCTCCCTCAATTCAACACGCCCAAAATAAAGGGGAAAAAAAGGGTAGGAGCGATTAAAATTCTTTTCTGAGCATCTCAAGCTTCTTTTATGGTTGGTGTGCATGCACGCTTATCAATCCTTTATAGGCACTATCGAACCTTCCTCGGCTGAAATATTGGATCGCCTCCGATTTAATGATGGTCGCGTTTCCGCTTTCCCTGGTGTCCCTCGGTCTGAGCGGCGTACTTCCCCGCCTCATACCCCGCGGTGTAGAAAGAGACCACCAACTGCCGTACCGCACGAGGTAAATGGGCGATGGGGAGGGCGGTTTGCAAAGAAAGGCCCTCGTGAGGCTCATGTCGCGCGCGTTTTCTCGTCGAGAGATTGCGAAGCGCCGAGTCGGAGGTCGCGCTTAAGGCGTTGGGGATGGACGATGTACTCCCCTCCGGGGATTCCCTGAAGCTACTGGCCGTGATGCTGGTGGATTCGGCCCCCTCGTCCATATCGGTAGGGCTTTCGTGCGAATGGGAGGGCTCGCGCGGTAGGCTGAGGCCGTGGGGCTCGCCCTTGCGGTTGATCACCTTCAGCTGCTCGTTCCACAGCCGCACGAGATCGCTATCATCCCAGAGAGAAGCATCGGCTCTGGAATAGCTCTCATCCACGACTAGGCACGGTTTTCCCGATTGTTCATTCATTGGATAGGTCTATGTTAAAGATCAATAATAATAATAATAATAAACAATAACAATAATAATAACCAAAACGTTAGGTGATCTACAAGAACTAAAGAGAAACTGTCAACCTTTATTTAAAAAAAAAATATTTAATGGACAGATAAAATAAAAATAAAAACACCAAATAAAATATATAGAGATAAATATATTGATATTCCTAAGGACGCACCTAGCATGTGCGTTGCGTTCCTATATTATTGGCACAAGGTCGCTGCCTTACCCATTCCTCCTCCCTATAAATAGAAAAGAAATAGCAATCTTTCGTAAAATTATGCTTAAAATTGGGGGAAAAAAATAATAATTTAAATTTCAACATTTGGGATATCATATTTGAATATGACGATACGCAAAGGTGAAAATTACTTCACTAAGTGACATCAACTCTACCATCTGTGTTTCTTCCTTCCATCTTTCCCCTTGTGGCATACATATTAACCACGACTCTTAACGAGAAAAGATGTTGAAACATTTGGTTTAACAAGTAATTTTATCAACTAATCGATTTTCAGTGCTTTAGTCAAACAATTTGTCCAGTGGTAAAGTTCTTCCTCCTTTTGAACACCGAAAAATATCGGCTGTGAGCTCTCAATCATAAACAACGTGAACGCGTAGGCCGGATGCACTTTCTTGCCGCCTTCCCCTGCCTCCGAAGACTTCGAAAGAAGATCCGTCACGGCGCAACGGCTGACAGACTTTATCAACTTGAGTGGGACCTTCCGACTGCGCTCGGTGCCGTCCGCCGCTTCCTTCGTTCGTGATAACGAAATGATAAAGAAGTCCTCGGACAGGATCAAATAGCGCTCCTTCCAACTCCCGTCGTTGTTTCGCTTATACACCACCCCCTCATAGCGCAAGGAGTCCCGCTCGTGCAACCCGCGCGGCATCGCGGCCTCAATGAGGTGCTTCGCCTCTTCGATATTTCGTAAAACCAAATCCCGCTCCGACGGGTCGCGAAAGGCGAGCCCGTCCAGGGCGTCCGCGTCCTGCTCGAGGGCGCGCGCGTCGAGGGCCATCAAACTCTGCACGTGCCGCTCAAAGACGTGCAAGTAGTACTGCATGACCGGGGTCCGCAGGAGCCTCCCGGCGTCCGGCCGCTCATGCGGGTCCTTGGTGAAGATCGACCGCACGAGCTCCCGCATCTCGAGCGAAAACGGCCCCCGCCGGGGCGGGCCTGGGTCGGGGCTCGCCCCCAAAGACGCCGGCGGGGCCTCCACCAACCCGACGTCCTGGTGGAGCACCGAGTCGCGGAGCTCCGTCGGGCCGACGGCGCTGAAGGGCCGCGCGCCGTCCATGAGCATCTCGTACAGGATGATGCCGGCGGCCCAGATGTCCGCCTTCTTGCCGTAGCGCTTCCCCTCCCACATCTCGGGCGAGAGGTAGAAGGGGGTGCCCAAAAAGGTCCCGGTGACCGTCTCGCTGCTGATGGTGGTCTCGAAGCGCTTGGAGAAGCCGAAGTCGCCGAGCTTGATGATGCCGTGCGAGGTGAGGAACATGTTCGCGCTCTTGACGTCCCGGTGGATCATGCGGTTCTGGTGGATGTGCTGGAGCGCGAGCAGCAGCTGCACGAAGT